GCCGCCGCCGCAGGGGTGCTGCCTGCGGCGGCGGCGGTAGCGCACGTGGCAACCCCCCGCGTTTCCTTGCCTCCCATCCACCGGACCCCGTCCTGCGCTTCACTTTGTTTAGGGAGGGGCTGCTCACTGCTCATTGCTCATTGCTCATCGCACACTGCTCAACGCTCATTGCCCTATATCCCACCCAGCCGCAGGACTCCACTGCCGCCCGCGCCCCGCCCCATCTGGCCGCTTGCGCGCCCCATCCCCCCTCGATGGGGCCCGCCCACACCGGGGCCTCCCCCCTCCCGCCCACTGCTTTCTCAACGGCCCCGAGCCGGGGCTGCCCTCATTGCATACATAGTGCGCCTTTCCCTGCTTTTCTAGTGACCTAGCGTTCCGCACTGCCGTTTGGCCAGCCCATGCTCCCGTACCGTTGCGTTTCTCCCCAATGCGCCATGCCACTTTGCCAGTCATACACACGTTTCGATGCGTGCCCTGTCAGCTGCTTGCGTTGCATGTCGCCTTGCTCCACCCCTGTTTTATTGCTTTCTCTGCTTTCGCCCGGTTCCCGTCCCGTTTCGGCGGGGAGTCTATGTTGCAAGCTAGTTCTTGCTTTACCAGACTTTAAGCCCACACAAGCAAGCAACCACCTGGTTGGCGCGAGTGACCAGGGTGGGAGGGTTGACGTTGCCATAAAGAAGCTGGCCGAGGTTGAGGGCAGGGTCAGCACTGCAGGGCAAGTAGGTGGACAAGCATGCCATCAGCTCTAATTGAAAACATACGTTGCTTCGGCAGTGCCACTAAACTCGCGCATGTTCCTAGTGGGTGTAACAGATCTGTCTTGACAGACAGACAGTCCAACAAACACCTGGGGAGTCTATGTTGCAAGCTAGTTCTTGCTTTACCAGACTTTAAGCCCACACAAGCAAGCAAGCAAGCAAGCACCGGCAATGGTGCCGCCGGCGCCGGGCGCGTGCCCCTGCAGTGCCGGCCCGCTGCCCGCAACCGCCGCTCACCGTGCGTAAGCGGTCATGGCGTAGACTCTCTTTGCTCTCTCCCTTAATGCTAGCTGTTGGTCGTTTCGCAACCTCACCATTCGTTCCTTGCTCCGCTGAATCGCCCGCCGCCTGGCCTGATACTCAAAAGACAATCGACTTCCACTAGACTCCCCCCACAGCATCACAAACTCGTCGTTTGAAGCGGCGATGGGGTCTCGCGCTGCAGAGACGCAGGCGATCGCCATGATCATGCTTGAGACTAGCAGGTCCAGGCATTTTCTCGGCATGGTGCGGGTACTTGCTTGAATGGAACAGGAGACGCTTCCCAGGGCCCTTTCAATTGGGAGGGTAAGATACTGTTCGGGGACGCGGCCCGACCCGGGCCCGGGAGCTCTAGAGCTAGGACGGGGGGGCTATTTGCACTCCACCGCCACCCCATACTGTGTATTTGTGTTTGTTACGTGCTTGGCCGCCCGGGCCATAGGAGCCATGGTGAAAACCCGGATGATGAGCGCAGCCCTCGTTGCCCTTCTGCTCTGCAGTCAGCTTGTTAGCGTGCACGCATCGCTGCCACTTATTCTTGCTGGGACGACCCTGGTAGCGGGCTTGTTCAGCGGCGGTGACTGCGGCGGCGTGTTCGGGACGTCTCCCACGTGCAAGTGTCGCAACTTTTTTCTGGTTGTGCGCTCGGGCACCAGAGGTATGCCGGGATCAGGCCAGACAATCGCTGAATGCCTGCAAACGTTCTGGGCTCCAGAACCTGCTTTCGCGGCGGCGGCGGCGGCAAGGAGGTCGAACGGTGGTTGCCTGCCAGGCAGTGCGCATCGCTGCAACGGCAGTCGACTGTGCCCGCCTATCATAGCGGGGTGACTGTAACACAGTACACAGTGCAGCCCGCCTCCTGTGGGTGCCTGTGGAGCACGAGAGGGCGACTGCTGCTCTCATTTTTTGGGAACGTCGCTGGAAGATGATGCCGTCCTTGCCGCCGCCGCAGCTTGATGTTTGATTCGGCGCTGACATGCCCGCCGCCACCGCCCCCACCTCCACCTGAAAACGCAGATGGCAAGGAGCGCGGAGCTCACTTGAACTTCACCAGAACCTCTTTTGAAGGTGGACAGCAGTGCCAGATTTCCACACCCACCCGGGTCAAGCCTGGCGAAAGCACCGGCATCCAAGTCGGCAACAGGGGCAGGACCTACGCCACTGGTGCGCTTGTCCACTGCATATGCCTACCCTAGCCTTCTAGAGGGCATCTCGGTCACTTTCCAGGCATCGGCAACGACCACGGGCACTCCTCAAGCCCCTGCGCCTGAGCTGGCTGCCCCCGCGTGCTGCAGGCGTGGAGGCTGATGTGTACTACAATGTATTGTCCCGCGACGGCAAGAGCAGGGTGAGGGATTGATCTGTCAAGCCTGTTCAATTGCTGTGATTGCAGCCGCTACAACAGGCAGAGCTCTGCTCGAGCAACGCTGTGCTATGCACGCTGCGAGGAGCGCAGCTAGCTGCCCTGGCACCGGCTCAGCTTCTCGCTCGCTTTAGGAGGCTTCTTGTGCCAGGGAAAGGCCATCGCAGCGGCTGGGCCTCTTGTGCTCATGCTGGCATCTGTCCATCCCCTGTGCAGACCGACTGCACCATCAAATTTTTGCTCAACAATCCGTACTGGGGGTGCGGCTGGGCCTGGCTGCAGATGCACGCCGGCAGACGCCAGCACACTAGGGGCGCTGCGTGATTGCCTGCTGGCAGTGCGCAGGGTCTGGGCACAACCGGGCTTCCCTTCCCGCACGCTGCCTTCCTGCAGCCCAAACGGATTCGGCTCAACACTCCTCGGGAAAAGCTGCCCAGACAACCTCGTCGTGAGCTGCCGGCGACCGCCGTCCCACCAGCCGCTGCGCTGCACCACAGCCTGCCCTGCATGCTTTCGCTGTGTGCCGCTGAGTTTTTTTTCGGTATGGTCCTCCTCACATGTGTCCTCCTCATTGGTCTACACCAATGCACCAGCAAGCTGCGGCTTTAAAGTAGGTGGCTTTGTGTCACTGCTGCCTGCAGGTGGAGCTGGGGCAATACATTGCAGGAGATACGGGCGCCGCCGTCGAGTATCATGTTTTCTACGACAGGGATGGCGACCAGAGGCAGGACCGGCGCTTGCTGTCCCACGACGAGTATGACCCGCGCCCGCTGTCCAACCGCCGCATGCTGGGCCAGCTGGGCCTGCAGGACTGATCACTCTTGAGGCAGTGCAATCGGCAGCGGCTGTGAGGTGCCATTCAGTGTGCGGATATGAGATGCCAGCCATATTGGACAGCCTGCTGATTTGTCAGTGCACCGACCACGTGGGGTCCTCGCCACTGCGATGACCGTCTCTGTGTTTCTCTGTGTTGTTGGGGGTTTAGGGTTCATCGCCACAAGGCAGTACTGTCGATGCAAACAATGTAGCAGATCCTTGATCTGCATGTGCCCCCTGCCCAATTTCTTCTCACATTAACTATCATAGCGGGGTGACTGTAATGCATGGGAGTTCCATGTCAAAAGGCCAGCCCGCACTTGTGTGCACATGTACACATGAGCCCATTTGAATAAAACCGGGCGCATTCTTCCCTTGTCCGCTCCTCCCTTACGTCGGAGCATCATTGTGGGCTCACCACTGCTGTGTCGCAGGGAGGGACTGCGCATTCCTAGGTTGCACACCTCTGCCCTGACCACCTGGTTGGCGGTGGCAATGTGCGGCTGGCTGTTCAGGCTCCATTGTGCAGGCAGGCACCTCAGGCAAGGCTGGGCTGGCATGAGCTAGCCTGCTTGTGCGGCACGGTGTCCATGCAGGCCAGCCAGCCAGCAGCAAGGCTAAGGAGCAGCCGCGGCAGTGCTCATCAGCTACGTATACTGCTCAGGTGCATGGAGACGCTGCTACATGTACAGCCGGGTGAACACATGAAACCCAGCACAGCGGGCGCGAATCAAAGGATGGTAGATCTGGTAGAGATCCAGCGAGCAGGTAGGATGGTCAGTCAGGTCGGTCAGGTAAAGTCAGGTAAAGTCAGGGTCAGAGTTGTTTGCGTTAAAGCTAACGAGCAGACAGAACACCAGGCGGGCGCCCCAGCAGCCAGAACACCAGCCGCCGCGGCATGTGGAGCTGCTGCGACACAGCCGGGCTGCCTACTTCTTGGCGTTGGGCGGCTCGTTGCGGTAGGGCGTCCAGTGCAGGCGGTTGAGGTCGATCTCAATGTTCTTCTGGTTGGCGATGGTCCTGCGGGGCGGCAGAGAGCGGCGGTGTGGGTGTGGCCAAGCAAGGCGGGCGCTCCAGAGAGGGGCAGCCGCCGCCAGCTGCGCACTGCCCCACCCCACCTCCCTGCGCCCAGCAGGCAGCCCTCCGCCTTACTTGAGGTGCTCCTCCACAATCTTGTGCGTCACGCTGATGATGTGGTCCCCCTTCCAGTACTTGATCAGGCTCAGGCTCTCCAGCGTCTTCACCACGTCGTCTGCAGGAGGGGAGGCGGTGCAGGGACACTTGAGTTTATATTCGCACCAGGGTGTGCGCCGGCCCACAGGCACGTGCAGACAGCGGGCCCTGCCGCCTGCCCCGGCGCCCACATCCGCGGCCACTCTCTCCCGCCAATCACCAGGCCCACCCAGCCACCCACCCGTGCGTATGGCGGTCTTGTCCGAGATGTCCTTAATGGACAGGCTGGCCTTGTGGTCCTTAAGCACCTCGAGGATCTCGCGCGTCCAGTAGCTGCGGTACGATACCTGCGGTACAGCAGCGAGCGGTACAGGCACGGTGGGCGGGTGATTGGAGAGGGTGGAGGGGAAGGCGGCTCTAAGGCGGCTCCATGGTCCCCTGGGGCGCGCAAGCCGCGCTGCAAGGGTGGAAGAGACCCCAGCAGCAGGTTCCCTGACCATCCGGCGCAAAGGCACCCCCCAGCCGCGCCTCACCGCGCCCAGGTCGGACAGCGGGCGCTCGGGCGACCCCACCCGCCCCTCCTTCTTGCTCAGCTCGTACGAGAAGGCGATGAGGAAGCGGCCGTAGCCCTTGCGCTGGTAGGGCGGCAGGGTGAGGATGCAGGCCAGGTTGTTGCCCTCGGCGCTGTTCTTCTCCTTGGAGAAGTAGCCCACGATGTGGTAGCTGCGGCGCGGGGCGGGCAGGCAGGGACGCAGGTGGGGTGGGGGTGAGCGTGGGCACCGTGGTGGCACGCAGGTGAGGTGGGTGTGAGAGGGTGTGCGCAGCGCGGGTGGTGATGGGGCGGGGATGGTGTGGGGGGGGAGGCCAGGTAGCCGGGGCGCAGGCACGGCAGCAGGGCATGCCAGTCACACCCGGCTCACCACACACAGCTCCACCCCCGCCTCCGTTCTGCACACACAGGGCCACC